TTTATTTTATTTATTTATTTATTTATTTTTTGCGGAACTGGGGATTGAACTCAAGACATGTAATTTTATTTTTGAGACAGGGTTTCATTATGCTATTTATGCTGGCCTTGAACTCACTTTGTAGCCCAGGTTGGTTTCCAACTTGCAGTGATCCTCCTGCCTCAGTCTCCCAAGTGCTGGGATTATAGGCGCAGCCACCACACCTATTTACTTTTTAATTTTTTAATTTTTAATGTATTTAGTACAGGTTCTCCAGGGTCTCACTTGACAGATCGGATTTGTAGAGATCTTCCTGTTTGCAGCTTCCCAAGAGCTGGGATTAGAGGTGGGCACCACATTATTTATTTATTTACTTATTTTTAAACTGCTCCCCCAAAATAAGAGCTGTTTAAAAAAGCCTTATGTTTCTCGTTTAATTTTAATTTTTGGTGGTACCAGGGATCAAACTCAGGACTTGGTGTTTACCAGGCAAGTACTTATTCCACTGAGCTATCTCCCCAGCCTCTCGTTTTTATTACTTTATATCTATAGGATATCTTTGTATCTATCTACAGTGTTTCTTCCCTGGCAAATTACCGGAGAAACTTTCTTTTCTTTCTATAGGGAACTTTAAAATAATACTGATGCTTGGTTTCCCACTTTCGTCTAATTAAATCAGAGCCTCTATGGATTCGTGCTTTTTGAAGCTCCCCAGATTATTAAATGTTTAGTCATAACTTCATACTAATATATTAAAGCGAGGTGAAAAGACGTTTTTAAGCCTAGTTAGTGGATTTTATGCGCATGCCCAAATCCTTTACAAGCATTATGGCTGCGCCCATGGGTGACATGTCTCCAGCCTCAAATTTGTATTTCTTTTGCAATCAGTGGGGAAATGACGCCGTTGCTCCTTTCTGTCTTTTGAAGTAACCCTTTCGCTGGTTCGGACGCAGGGTCCAGAGTCCGGGTCTGCTGCCAGCGCGTGACTTCGGGCCCCGTGCGGCACCGGTGCCCGGGAGGCGACCGGACCTAGGCCAGGCCCCACCCGGGCTTCAAGGGGCCCGGCAGCTCGACAGTCCGGCAGTCCCACAGCGCCGCCTGCGGCGGGGAGGGGTGACTACATCTCCCACAATGCACCCCGGGGGCGGGCTGGGTCTGGCCAAGGGGCTGGAGCTGGGCCTGGGCTCGATGAGAGCCGGGAGAGCTGTCTTTCTGCGTCGGCGGCCGGGCCAGGGCCGGTAGGAGTCGGTGCCTGCACTGTGGCCATGTCTGTGTCAGCCAGGGACCGGGGCCCCGCAAGCCACAGCCCTCAGGCCAAACCCGGCTGGACACCCATGTCTCCCTGGGGGTCTGGCAGAGGACAGTGACTGGCACCCCCCGTGCGCCCGGTGTTCCCCCCAAAGAAATAGGTGAGTCCGACTTTCCACCCACGTGGCCTGAGAGCGCTGATAGTAGAGCTGTCATCCTTGGAGGGAGGGGCTTGAAGACTTGGGGTCCCTACCACCCATCGCAACATTTGCAATAGGAGGCCTGGATCTCCCTGGAACCCCCAGCCGGCTGGCCCCCTAGCTGGGGAGTACAAAAGAAAAGGCCTGGAACCCACCTTTGGCTAGGTCAAGATCCGGTAGGAGGCAGGGGCTAGGTCAGACCCACCCCTTTCAATGCACACACACTCGGTCTTTAGAGTCCTCTTAAAATCGACACTGGTGCTAGAGAGAGAGACAGCGAGCTCTTTGGAAGGGTTGTGGGACCTGGGACTTTGTTCTTAACTGGTTGCCCTTTTCTAGGTTCAAGTTTGCCGAAGAGTGGGACTAGCCTATGCCAAAAGTTACACTGACTATGCTAGACTTTTCAGCATAAAGTAGACACCCTGCTGAACCAGCCACAGCACAACCTCACCTGGCTTCTGTCCTGCATTATGTATCCTGGCATCACCTTCCAGATAGCCCATTCCCCAAATGGTTAAGAAGGGTAAAGCTCTATTCAAACAGGAAGAGGAAGCGAAGTAGTTAGTAGCCGGCAGGGAGGGGAGGAGCTTTTGCAAGGTGCTGCCTACTCCCAGGCCACCTGAGGGAGATAGATACACTAGAAGGACTGATAGTGCCTACCTGTTTGGTGACATTGCCTCAAGCCCTGTTGGGTATTTCTAGGAAAGTAGCAAGCTCTGAGGGCATCTAGAGAGAGTGCCCAGAAAGAAGCACTGGGTCTGGTTTGAAAAGACCTGCTTTCCTCCTTCAGAGCTCCTAGGAGCTTTGGCTGCACAGTTTGAGGCTCCAGTTGGGATTGGGATGGACTTTGCTGTGATGCAGTCAGACTTCCTGCCTGAGTTTCCAGGGTATCCAGAAAGTTTTTTGCTTCTTCAGGGTTTCTTGCTGGACGTCTAGACTGACCTTGAAGAGGCTAAGATGTTGAGATCTCACGTAACAGAACTGTTGTAAAAGAAGCATCCACTAGCCCTAGACAGCTAGCTGGCCCTTTTCCATGGAGGTACTGGTTTGGGTACACTCAGACACATTAATTTGGCTGAGTGTTAGCCAAAGCTCACTAGGAATCAGGCAGTTGTAGACCTTATTTGGATTTTGTTTTGTTTTTTGATTGTGGTACTAGAGATTGGACCTAGGAGTACTTTATCACTGAGTTATATCCCCAGCCCTTTTAAAATTTTTTATTTTGAGCCATTCTCACTAGGTTGCCCAGACTGGCCTTAAATTTGTCATCTTCCTCCTCCCTTCCCAGGTAGTTGGAATAACAGGTGTGTGCCATTGTGTCCTTCCCTTATTTGGATCTTTGATCCAGAAGTGCAAAGCCACAGAGCAGGGACATTTTGCAGATCAAGGAACTAAACTGGGGAGAGACTTCCCAGAAGTAGCAGAAAGGTAGTGCTCTGTTTCTAAAATTCCTATGAAGGGCCAGCCAGGTAGCTCAGCAGACTAAAGCACCTGCTTAGGCAGAGCACAATGGCAAGGGTTCGATCTCCCACATGCTGTGCTGGCCCTGCCCACGGGGCTCACTGAGATTGGATGTGGTGGTGCGTGGCTGTGATCCCAGTGCTTGGGAGGCTGAAAACAGGAGAATCATTACTAGTCTGATCTACGCAATGAGACCCTGTAGACCCTGCAGACCCTGTACCAAATACATTTTTAAGAAATTAAATAAAAATAAATAAAATAACATTCCTATGAACAGCCAGTTAGCCTGGTGGTACTCCCAGCCTGAGGCCCATAGATAGCTCTTTTACTCTGATATCTTAGTTGGGTCACTTCAGCTAGAAGGTCACAACCAAATGCCCAGGCCACTTACCCAGCATCTGTTAAGGCACAACAAACTCTCAAAAGACTGATTGAGATGACTGAGACCACTGGATCTGTATGTATGTAAGTGCTGTTACATGGTCTGACTGCTAAGTAAGTATGGTGGCACGTGCCTATAATACTAATCCCTGGGAGGCTGAGGCAGGAGGATTGCCTGGACCTAGAGGCCCACCTACACTTCATAGTGATTTTTTTTTTTTTTTTTTCAGAACTGGGGATTGAACTCAGACCCTTGTGCTTGCCAGGCAAGCACTTATTCCACTGAGCCATCTCCCCGGCCCCTTCATAGTGATTTTAAGACCAGCTTGAACTACATAATGAGACCCTGTCCTCCAAAACCCAAACCAAAGCAAAACGAAACAAAAACATTTCGTGGGGCTGGGGAGATAGCTTGGCATTCTAAGCACCTGCCTGGCAAGCATAAGGACCTGGATTTGATCCCTGGTACCACATAGTGCATTGGCGCTGGACCGTGCCGGATCACTGATTCTGAGCTGTATAGTGAGACCCTGTATCAAATAAATCAATAAAAGATTTATTTATTTATTTTTCTTTGCAGAACCAGGGATTGAACTCAGGTCCTTGTGCTTGCCAGGGAAGTGCTTATTCCACTGAGCCATCTCCCTGGCCAATAAAAGATTTTTTAAAAAAGTATGTGTTGGGGCTAGGGAGATGGCTCAGTAGAATAAGCGCTTGCCTGGCAAGCACAAGGGGCTGAGTTTAATCCCTGGTTCCACCAAAAAAATAAATAAAAAATAAAAAGTATGTGTTAATGGTAGCTGCTGAGTATACAATACCTGCTTTGTGCCATGGTAACCAAATCATATGTAGGATAATCTCATTTAATGCTCCTGCAATCCAAGGAATCCATAGTATCAGAATCAATACTATCATTAGCTCCAATTTATGGATGAGAAAACTAAGACCAGTAAAACCAAGCCTATCTGACAGCGAAGGCATTGTTCGTAAATACTTGACTACCAGCAAAGACAAGTCTTTATAGGCTGGATTTTCTTTATCATAAGTGTGCTAGAGCTGGGGGCTCATCACAGATCTTTCACTCTCTCCCAAAGATGTTTATTGGGCAGATAGTGATACAACTACTCCTGCATGTAACTCTGAAGGGCTGATATTTGTAGCAGGCCACAGAGTGACTTTCAGCCCAGAGAAGTAAATCCAAGTAAACAGGGATGTTGCCAGAAGGCCTCTTTGATAAGGCAGTACTTGAGGAACAGCCTAGAGGAAGAAAGGGAGGAAGGCATTCACTAGCCCAGGTAAGAAAATTTGTGGCTTGGGGCCCCAGAGGGATATTCAGAAAGAGCAGGGTTAGAAGTAAAGGAAGTAAAGGAATGCTCAGGAAATTTAGAGAAAGCCAAGAGACCCATGTGACTGTCTTCAGGCAGAATTAGTAGGGAGAAAGGATAGGAAATTGAGGTGAAAGGAAAGCCAGGTACAGTGGTGGTGACACATCCTGTAATCCCAGTGCTTTAGAACAAGAATTTCTCTCTCTCTCTCTCTCTCTCTCTCTCTCTCTCTCTCTCTCTCTCTCTCTTTCTTTCTTTCTTTCTTATTTTCTTTGAGACAGGGTCTTGGTATATAGTGTAGGCTGGCTTTGAGCTCACTTTGTAGCCAAGGCTAGCCTCAGATTTGCAGCAGTCCTCCCACCTCAGCCTCCTGAGGCCTGGGATTTATAGGCAGGTGCCATCCTGCCTGGTGAGGAAGGACTGTAAATTCAAGCCCACTCTCAGTAACTTCAATGCTTAAGTGAGGCTGTCTCAAAATTTTATTTTATTTTATTGTTTTTCGGAAGTGGGGATTGAACTCAGGCCCTTGCCCTTGCCAGGGAAGCACTTATTCCACGGAACCATCTACCCGGCCCCTGTCTCAAAATTTAAAAGAATGAGGTTCTGAGTTCAATTACCGGTACAAAATTAAAAGAAAAGAAAAGGGGAGCTGGGCATGGTAGCGTGTGGCTGTCAGCAGTCAAGAAGCTGAGGCAGGGGGATCGCTGTCCATCCTAGGTAATGTGGTGATTTTAGGACCAGCCTGAACTGCATGGCAAGACCCTGTCTCTAAAAAGAACAGGGGAAATAGCTCAGTAGAATAAGCACTTGTCTGGCAAGCACAAGGTCCTGAGTTCAATACCTGGTACCACACACACACACACACAACAAAAGAAATAATAATAATCATAATGATCATAATAATAATGAAAAGAACAAGAAAATTAATAATCTGGCTGGCCAGATAGCTCAGTGGACTAAAGCGCCTCCTTAGGCAGACGCAGGGACCAGGGATTTGATTTGATCCCTGGTGCACTGAAGATGGTCGAGGTGATGCACGCCTGTAATCCCAGCGCTTGGAAGGTTGAAAACAGGAGGATCACTACAAATCCGATCTGTATAGTGAGACCCTGTAGACCCTGTACTAAATACATTTAAAAAACTAATATTCTGCCTTGTGAAAGTTGAACATTCTGTCTGGAATCACTTAAGTGTTTATTTCCTATTATTATTATTATTATTATTATTATTATTATTATTATTATTATTTGGTAAAGGGGATTGAACTCAGTACCTTGCACTTGCCAGGCAGGTGCTTATGCTGCTAAGCTATCTCCCCAGCCTTTGGTTTTTTGTTTTTTTTTTTTTTTTGAGACAAGGTTTTACTATGTAGATAGACTGGTTTTCAACTCAGTATACAACCCAGGCTCACCTGGAAAGCAAGGTGTTCCTGTTGCCTCAGCCTCTGAAGTGCCAGTTTTACAGATGTACACCACACCTGGCTTTGTTTCTTTTTATTTTTTGTTTCTTTTTTTGTTTGGTTGGGGATTGAACTCAGGCCCTTGTGCTTCCAGGGAAGTGCTTATTCCACTGAGCCATCTCCCCAGCCCTTGTTTTATTTTTTGATACAGAGTCTCACTGCAGATTCAGGATAGTCTGAATTTACTATGTAGCCCAGGTTGAAATTGAACTCTCATTGATCCTCCTGCTTACCAAGCAAGCCTTATTCTACTGAGCTATCTCCTCAGCCCCACCCCCCTTTTCTTTTTGAGATAGGGTCTTGCTATGCAGTTTGTGCTAGCCTTGTGCTCACTTTTTGTAGCCCTCAGTCTGGTCATGAACTCGAAATGATCCTCCTGTCTCAACCTCCCACATGCTGGGATTACAGGCATGTGCCACCACACACAGTTCTGAGGCCAGCACAGTGTGCCCAGGGTTCTGGGTCCAGCACGGCACATGGGGCCAGGGATCTAACTCGGTTCCTTGTGCATGCCAAGTAGGTGCTTATGCCTCTGAGCTATCTCCCTAGCCCCTATTATTATTTTCAGTACTAGAAGTTTTTTTGTTGTTTTCTGTGGGATTTTTCTTTTTCTTTTTTTATAGATTAAACCCATGACCTTGACATGCTAGGCAAGTTTTCTGTCACTGAGCTATATGTCCAGTACTGCCCAGTGATTTGGTTGGATTGTGTGTGTGTGTGTGTGTGTGTGTGTGTGTGTGTGGTACTGAAGATCAAACTGAGGCCTTGAGCATGCAAGGCAAGAGCTCTACCACTGAGCCATATCCCCCAACCTGTGCTGTTATTTCATTTTATTATTTTTAAATGCATTTGGTTGTTACAGGGTCTCACTATGCAGCTTGGACTCACAGTGATCCTCCTGTTTTCAGCCTCCCCACCGCTGGCATTATTGGCATTTGCCTTGCCTGGAATCTGTGGCCAGCTTAGCCTCCCCTGGGGTCGGGGCTGGCAGAGTGTGTGGTGCCAGGGATCAAATTGCTTTCTCGGGCTGGTGAGATGGCTCAGTGGTCTAAAGCACCTACTTAGAACAAGCTAAGCTAAGCAAGGCACAGGGGCTGCAGTTCAATCCCCCAGCACCACATGCCAGCCAGCCCTGCCCCCTGGTGGGCTGAGCTGGCCACACACACACACACACAAAATAAATAAATTAATTAATTAAAAAAAAATTGCTTTCTCTGTGCTTGCCTAAGCTTACCTAAGCAAGCACTTTAGCCTGCTGAGCTATCTTGCTGGCCCCTGTGCTATTATTTTATTTATTTATTTATTTATTTATTTATTCTTGTGGTACCAGGGATTGAACTCAGGGCCCTGCACTTGCCAGGCAAGCGCTTATTCTACTGAACCATCTCTCTGGGCCCTGTGCTGTTATTATTATTTTTTTAAGTTTATTTATTTATTTGGGGTATGTGTGTGTGTGTGTGTGTGTGTGTGGCCAGCTCAGCCCACCAGGGGGCGGGGCTGGCTGGCATGTGGTGCTGGGGGATCGAACTGCGGTCCCTGTGCTTTGCTAAGCTTGTTCTAAGTAGGTGCTTTTAGACCACCGAGCCATCTCACCAGCCCTGAGCTTGTTCTAAGTAGGTGCTTTAGACCACTGAGCCATCTCACCAGCCCTCCAAGTTTTCTGCAACAAATATATCTTCCTTTCATAATCAGAAAAGAAAATGTTTGTTTTGGTACTGGGGATTGAAACCAGTGCCTTGACAGCATCTTCTAATTTTTTGTATATTTATTATTTATTAACTTATTTATTGAGACAGTCTCACTAAGTTGCCCAGGCTGGGGTCTAACTTATAAATCTTTCTGTCTCAGCCTCTCAGAGTGCTCAGCAAACTTCTTCTTTTTTTTTGGTGGAACTGGGGATTGAACTCAGGCCCTTGCAGTTGCCAGACAAGCACTTATTCTACTGAGCTATCTCCTCAACCCAGAGATAGGTATATACCACCATGCCTAGCTAATACTCATTCTTTTACTTTTTTTTTTTGGTACTGGGAATTGAACTCAGGACCTCACGCTGTCCAAAGAGGCACTGTGCTACTGAGCTACATCCCCAGCTACTTATTATTTTAAAAAGGAATACTCATAACCCATTCCCCAAGGATTTGTGTCAATTTTCCTGTACTGTCAATGGTGATGATGCTAGTGACTCTACCAGTTGCCCTTTCACTTTACCTTCTGTGATGCTTTGGTTCACCATGCAGGACATGGCTGCTGATGTGCAGACGAAGAGAAGCAGTGACTGTCCTGATGGTACATTAGCCCCTTCTGATGGACAGAGTGTGGAGAGAGCTGAGAGCCCCACGCCAGGACTGGCCCAAGGGATGGAGCCAGGTAAGGACAGATTGTGCAGTTCCAGCCAGTTGACAGCTGGGTTGGTATTCCCAAACACTCTTTCTGTCTCACCTGTTCAGGCACTTATTCCGTCACTCACTGGGTATTGTCAGGTGCTGACAATGCTGTGGAGAACTGGGTTTTGACTGCAGGTGACCATTGTCTCCATTTCCTGTTGTGCTGCTCAACCTATGTACCCTGGCTCCTGTTCAGTATTTACAGTGCATTTCCCTGGCTCCTTCTCCTCTCTTCAGGTCTCAGTTCCAGTGTCACAGGGCCGAGGATATGGCTCAGTGGAATAAGCGCTACCCTGGCAAGTGCAAGGGTCTAAGTTCAATTCCCGGTTCCACCAAAAAATAAAAAAATAAAATGCAACTCAGTTCCAATGTCACAACCTCATAGATTGAGCCTACTGTGACCAAATTCTGTTTTAGGACACTAGATATTTTGTGATTATGTGTATCTTGTCCATCTTTTTCTTCTACAAGATTGTATACTCTTTGTGCACATGACAGTCACATCACCACACGTAGTATGGTGCCAAAATCATAATAGAGATTCAGAATATATCTCTTTAACCATTTGGTCAAAAATAATCGGTAAAGGAACCAGGCACAGTGGCACACATCTGTAGTCCCAACTACATCGGAGGCAGAGGGCTGAAGGATCACAAGTTTAAGGCCAACTTGGACAACTGAGACTCTGTCTCAAAAATGAAAAATATTTCCTAAGGGTTGAGGATGTAACACAGTGGTAGAGCACTTGCCCGGTATGCACAAGGCTCTGGGTCCACTCCACAGTATCACAAGAAAAAAAAAAAGGAAAGAAGGAGACAGAGAAAAGACAGACAGAAAATAAATGCTAGGGTCTGGGGGTGCAGTTCAATGGTATAGTGCTTGTGTAGCTTGCTCAAAGCCCTGCATCCATCCCTGTCCTGGGGGATCCACAGGCTAGTGGAGCCCATCAGGGGCTCCTGGGTGAGTAGGGGAGACTTCCCCCAGAGAGAGATTCATCAAGTATGAGGGGTGCTTCTAACATGAGGAGAGGTGATGGGTACACAGCATACTGCCCTTGAGGATTATTATTGTATTTGGGGAGACAAACAATAGCTTGCACACTTCCCAAAGGCTGTCAATTATCAATGAGAGAGAGAGAGAGAGAGAGAGAGAGAGAGAGAGAGAGAGAGAGAATGGATTATTTGTGTTTGGAGCCAGGTAAGGATGTAACATCTTCCCCTAAAACTAAAGTATGATAAGCAGCCCACCTTGTGGGGAGGTAGGAGTGCTTTCTAGGCAAGCAATAATATGGAGCTCCTAAGGTAAGTCGGGATATGTTAAGGTTGTCCGGCAAGCACATGGACAAAGACCAGTGTGACTGGGATGGGCAAAGGATGGACAAGGGGATGTGCTGTGAGATAAGTGTGGAGGGGTAGGCAGATACTTGCTGCCATGAGGGCTGGGTCTTATTTGAGGTGTGATGGGAGGAGACAGATCTGCTGTAAATTGCAGACTATGCAGCCAGTAGCTGGAGGGCAAGTGTCTTGGCCGCATCAGGGCGGGTGGCCATGCTACATTAAGTACTTTGCTGTGCAGAGTGCCTGCCAATAGCTAGTTCTCTAAGCACCAGTGCTTTTGGTTTGCAGGTGCCGGGCAGGAGGGTGCCATGTTCGTCCATGCCCGTTCCTATGAAGACCTGACTGAGTCAGAGGATGGGCAAGCTTCTGGGGACAGCCCCAAGGAGGGGGCTCAAGGTCCCCCGCCACTCCCTACTGATATGCGCCAGATCAGCCAGGACTTCAGTGAACTAAGTACCCAGTTGACAGGTGTGGCTCGTGACCTGCAGGAGGAAATGCTTCCTGGAAGCTCTGAGGACTGGCCAGGACCCCCCAGCGCAGGCAGCCGGCCAGCTATAGAGCCTCCAGGGGAAGGCACAGATGAAGGGGATGAGAAGGATGCCACAGAGGCATGGCGCCTCCACCAGAAGCATGTCTTTGTGCTGAGTGAAGCAGGGAAGCCTGTATACTCCCGCCATGGCTCTGAGGAAGCGCTTTCCAGCACCATGGGTGTCATGGTGGCCCTGGTTTCCTTTCTGGAGGCAGACAAGAATGCCATCCGCTCCATCCATGCAGGTGAGCTACCAGGAGAAGGCAGCAGGGAGAGCTCTACTGGCCAGGGTTACTTCAGAGCAGATTTTGGATCCCCGCAGAGCAGAGGACGGGATGTATGGGATGTGCTGTGTTAGGTCAGTCCTTCACCTCTCTGAGCCTCAAGGTCTATTTACCGGGGATTGAACTCAGGCCCTTGCACCTTGTCAGGCGAGCGCTTATTCTGCTGACCCATCTCCCCAGCCCCGAGCCTCAAGGTCTAGCTGAATATAGTATACCAGCAGTGCCAGCAGCCTCATGGGGGATGTGGTGGGGCCAGAGAAATCTTTGAGGTGAGCTTCATTGTTGGCAGTGGTGAGAATTGCCTGGGGAGGTGCCAAAAAAAATGACAAAAATTAAATTGGTCCCTAGGCCTACTCAGCCCTTGGCAACACAGTTACCACACAAAAGAATGTGTTTTTCTGAAAAGCTTCTTGTTTTTTGTTTAGTCAGCTTTTATTGGTATATTTTAGATATACATAGTGGTCAGCTTGTGATTTTGAGGAGATCAACCTGTGAAGCTAGTGGCAAAGAAAGGGACAGTGGCTCCTGTATTTGCCCCGTAACCCCCTAAGCTCCTGCTGAACGCAAAGCTCTGCACCAGGAGAGCATGTGGAAAGTGAAGGGCTGTCCAGCGCTGGCAGAGTGGGAAAAGGCCCCTCTGGGAGGGCTCCTGAGGGAGGGGCTGAGGCTGACACCCTCCCCTGCCCCTAGATGGCTACAAGGTGGTATTCGTCCGCCGGAGCCCACTGGTGCTGGTGGCAGTGGCACGCACACGACAGTCGGCACAGGAGCTGGCACAGGAGCTGCTCTACATCTACTACCAGATCCTGAGCCTTCTTACTGGTGCACAGCTGTGCCACATCTTCCAGCAGAAGCAGAACTATGATCTACGGCGCCTGCTTTCGGGCTCAGAGCGCATCACTGACAACCTGCTGCAGCTCATGGCACGAGACCCCAGTTTTCTGATGGGGGCAGCAAGGTGTCTGCCCCTGACTGCGGCTGTGCGGGATGCCGTGAGCACCAGCCTGCAGCAGGCGCGTGTGCGAAGCCTGGTCTTCTCCATTTTGGTAGCCCACAATCAGCTGGTAGCGCTTGTTCGCCGAAAGGACCAATTCTTGCATCCCATTGATCTGCACCTACTCTTCAACCTCATCAGTTCTTCCTCCTCCTTCCGTGAGGGGGAGGCGTGGACGCCAGTTTGCCTGCCCAAATTCAACTCGGCGGGCTTCTTCCATGCGCACATCTCATACCTGGAGCCCGACACTGACCTCTGCCTGCTGCTAGTCTCCACTGACCGCGAGGACTTCTTTGCGGTTTCTGACTGCCGCCGACGCTTTCAGGAGCGCCTTCGCAAGCGTGGAGCCCACCTGGCGCTGCGGGATGCACTGCGCACACCCTACTACAGCGTTGCCCAAGTAGGCATCCCTGACCTGCGCCACTTCCTCTATAAGTCCAAGAGCTCAGGACTCTTCACCAGGTGAGGGAGGGCACTGCTTCAGGGAAACAGATGTGGGGAAGGGGAACCTGGTTGTTCTTTAGCTCTAGGATGCAGTCCTGAAGCTGACCGTACCTCTGGGAGTAGACCAGCATGTTGGGAGCTTACTCTGGCACCAGAAACCCAGACTTCCCATCACCCCACAGGCATACATTTCTCTACTTTCATGCCCATAAAGCCTAGGCATGACCATTATGCCTAGGGAAAGAAGCTGGAAGAGAACTCTCCCAGATCCTTTGCCCTAGGGCACCTGTGTTAGGGATTATTGTGCTTTAGCCCAGGATACAGACCCTTCCCTCACCCACTTCCCCAGTGAATGATCTGGACAGAAGAACCAACTTCTAATCTCTTTTTGGCCCAGAGTGTTTCCTAGATTACCTTACCTGCACTCCAGGTCTGTCACTTTCTCTGGAATGCTGAAATTCATATTGGCGTCTCCAACGAAGGATCCCCAAAGACACCGTGAACTAGGGGAGTGGGAGGAAGTAGGGCGTCAGTCCCTCCCAGTGAAACTTCTGTGGAGAGACAATTCTATGACCTAGGGAAGCAGCTAGAGAATGAGAAATGTTGTAGTCTCCCTGCCTAGGAATAGGTGTTTCCAGATCTTCAGAGAAGGCAGTAGAAGTCATGCCTTTGCAAATTCACTCCCTCATCTGTAGTCCTGAGATTGAGGCCCCATACACCAGTGAAGAGGAGCAGGAGCGGCTTCTAGAGCTCTACCAGTACCTGCACAGCCGAGCCCACAATGCTACCCGCCCACTCAAGACCATCTACTATACAGGCCCCAACGAGAACCTCCTAGCCTGGGTAAGGTAGCCCTGGATGGGATGGGCTTTGTGGAGGTTCTGGGTAGATGCCACAAGGGGCATCTGTCCTAGATGATCACCCTTTGCCCCCTCATCCAGGTGACAGGCGCCTTTGAACTCTACATGTGCTACAGCCCTCTGGGGACTAAGGCATCAGCCGTCAGTGCCATCCATAAGCTGATGCGATGGATCCGTAAGGAGGAAGACCGCCTCTTCATCCTCACACCCCTCACCTACTGATGGGAATGTGTACAGGACCACTGGACATGGGAAGCCATGCGAACCTCTAGGTGGGCCTGGCTTCTCCTGCCCAGCCAGCTGTTGGGGACTGTGGATTTCTGGGTGCATTAAAGTGCTTTGAGGAAGATATTTGTTGTGAGCACGTGTTGTAGCTGATCCTTTTACCTCTTCATTCTCAGAGTTTGGATCTCCTCCCCAGCCCTATATGTGTTCCCTTATATTCAAAGGCACAGGAATATTGGAGCCCCTTCCTTTCAGCTCTAATACCAACATGGGGTCACATGATGAGCTGGACCCTGGTTTGGAGCTGTTTTGATTTAGCTGAGGTCCTGCCAGATACAGAATAAAGGTTTGTCAGGTACCACTGTCCTACCCTTCCTCACTGATCTTGGCTTCAGTGTGCTGCAGTGCCTGACTCCGTGGCTTCACTTTGTGGACTGCTGTCCTTCTGCATGGGCTGAGTTGAGTAATATAAAAATGCTCAAAGTGGGGTAGTCTGGGGTTTGGGGCAGGTGGGAGTACTTGGTGGGCACCCAATGTTCAGCACAAATTCCGAGTTCATTCTCGTAGCCATAGGCCTTTGGAGAAACTATCCCTATATAGGCCTCTTATAAAAGGGAGTCAGCTTCAGCTCCCCCTCCTCAGTCAGCACATTCCTCAGAACAGCACCTAGGAATAAGCTAGAGCAGTAAGGGCGAACCTTTGGCACACATGCTGGAGTGAGCTGTTATTGAAAGCTATAAAAGGTTCGCCATCACTGCACTAGATGATCTGAGAAGAGACTCACTTGAGTTACATGGGAGCATATCTGCCTTCATAGGGCTGATGCCAATCACTATACTGGGCCTTTTCCTTGGGCTGGCATGCTCACACTGCATGAATCACCAGGATCCTCCCAGTAAAGGCCCATCCCAGGGATATAAGCAGTAAATGTGCAGCCTCATTCATTCACCCTGCCATGTATCAGGAGGCCGTGGGCAGATCCCAGGGTACAGTGAGGAGATCTGTACCTTGCTGTTGACCAAGAAAGCAAAAGGCCTAGGGAGTGTTTGTGGGAGAAAACTGTCCACTGATGTAATTTTTTTAATTTTATTTATTTATTTTTTTTTTGCGGAACTAGGGATTGAACTCAGGCCCTTGTGCTTGCCAGAGAAGCGCTTATTCTACTGAGCCAACTCCCCAGCCCCTGTAATTTTTAAACTTAGAATTACCCTCATGAAGCTGAGTGTGGTGGTACACAACTGTCATCCCAGCACTCAGGAGGCTGAGGCAGGAGACTTGTTGCAAGTTTAAGACCAGCCTGGAGGGTCTAAAGCACCTGCTTAGGCAGAGTACAGCAGCTGGGGTTCAATCCCCCGCATGCCATGCCAGTCCCAGAGCTCACTGAGACTGGGCATGGTGGTGCATGCCTGTAATCCCAGTGCTCGGGAGGCTGAAACAGGATCACTGTGTCCAATCTGTGTAGTGAGACCCTGTACTAAATACATAAAACATTATTTGACTTTATTTTTATTTATTTGCCAGCCCTGGGGGTGGGGCTGGCACAGTATATGGTACTAGGGATTGAACTGTGGTCCCTGGGTACCTGCTCATTTGCCTAAGCTTGCCTAAGAAGGCGCTTTAGACTACTGAGCTATCTTGTTGGTCCCCCTTTTTTGGAGGAAGGGTCTGGCTAAATTTCCCAGGCTGGCCTTGAATTTGCAATCCTTTTGCCTCTGCCTCTTTTTTTTTGCGGAACCAGGGATTGAACTCAGGCCCTTGTGCTTGCCAGGGAAGTGCTTATTCCACTGAGCCATCTCCCCAGCCCTTCTGCCTCTTGAGTAACTGGAATTATAGGCCTGACCATCATACCCAGCTATTTTGTGCTCCTATTTCTCCTCTTTCTTCTGATCAGGACATCAAACCACTGCCTCAGGGACCAGGGTGATGCAAGATTACTCTCCCTGAGTATTATGGGTGTTCTGGTCAATAGTCAGCCCGTAAGCACTTCTGTTGGCTCCCCTGTCCCCTGCAGATTCTTAGCTTCCTTGTAGTTTATCTTTTATTCTGGTCAGGATAGGAAAGGGAGGGTCACAGGTAACTGTGTATCTAGGACAATAGTCATGTAGGAGTGCAGGGTTTTACTCTTTGGGAGGCAGAGGTGGGATGAAAGGCAAATAAGAGAGCATGGTCCTAGCTAGGGAACCAGCCTATGCAAAGCTTGTGTCCTATAACTGTTACAGTGAAGCTGGAGAGCCTGCATCACCTTGGGGTTTTCAATCTCCAGATGAAAGTCTGGCAGGAAGCCAGGAATGGTGGTGCACACCTATAGTCCCAGCATTTGGGAGGTTGAGGCAGGAGAATTGCTGTGAGTTTGAGGCAGGAGAATTGCTGTGAGTTTGAGGCCAGCTTAGACTATATAGTGAGTTCAAGGCCAGGCTACCGTACAAAACAAGACCTTGTCTCAAAAAAAAAAAAAAGTCTGGCAGGACAGTCATTTAGAGCTACAGTGCATGTGGTCATATTGTAATTAAAAAACCCTTGATGGTGACCTTTGGGTTGAAGAAAGAGCTTGGGCCTAGTCCTCTGAAGTAGTGTTCAGTGGGGACCAGGAGCCCAGGGAGTACTAAGTAGCTAGCACTGGTACATGGTAACAAGAGGGCAGGGCAGTGGGGGAGCCTAGTAAGTTGACCTCTGGGAAGTGCTAGTGTTTACTTAACACCACTGGACCCCAGCAGCCAACCTCCACATAACCTCCCTGGTGCCCACTTGCAGAGCCTACTAATGGGTAAGGACAAAGGATATCTTTCTGAAATCCTGCTATTGAGGACCAGGGCTGCCCAAGAGGGAATATCAGCCTTGGGTCAGTCACCATGGTGCCCCACGGTGGCAGTTCTGAACTAATGGCTGCTGCAGTACACTTTCAAAACTGGGGCAGGCCACCAGACCTACTTAGGAGGGCCTGTGAGGCTTCCTCCTAATCCCCAGAATCTCTCGGACTCTGGATTCCTGGTGGAAAGTGTTTCATTTCAGTTTTTGCTTTGCATAACTATCTTCAGACTTGTTGACCATAAAATTGTGGAACCATGCCAGGATTTCTACAGGGGTTTATTCATTTCCTGGCCAACTCTGGTTCCGGAAAGGAATGATTTTTATGTTGCTGGGGGCACAATATCTTCTCTGCATGGGTGTGGCCACCTCATGTTCTCTTTTCTCCCAGTCACCAGCTGCTCAAGGAACTCTAGCCTGGCAGGAGGGCAAGGCCTGGACTGGTCCTGGAGGAACAGAGGAATGCTCAGAGCGATGTGTGCTGGGGTGCATGTAGCTTAGGCTCTTTGAACCAAGAGGTCTTGAGGAAGGTTGGGTCCTGAAGGCCTCCTGGGGGAGGTCCTGTTCAAGTTACAAGAGGAAGAAGGGGAAGGGGAAAGGTGCTCCTGGAAGCAGGAACAGCATTTGAAAAGGTTAGGAGAGGGAAGCAGGGAAAGGGTCTAGCACCCCAGGCTAGGCTGAATCTTACTGGGCTCCTTCCTGTCCCAGATCCTCTTACCCACTGCAGCTCTCAACCCAATGATGCAGATCCGGGGTTGCCTGTGAGGCTTCCCCTCCCTCTAGAATACACCAGGCTGACAGAGTATCAGGTCAGGACTCCTCCAGGTCTTCCCTCCAGTGTTGCCCAAGGATAAATGCTGAGGTACAGGTGGGGAAAATGACAAAGCAGGCATAGGCTCCACCCATCAACCCATTCCCAGACTGGAGAGAGGATTCTGGGTTAACCAGAACTGCATTCTAATTTCAAAGACTGAAAAACTAAGGCTCACAGAGCAGGTTAGAGGTGCCCTGGGAGCCAAAGTCCATGCTCTGCATGTTGGGGGCAGGCACTGGAGTAAAAAGTCAGTCACAGGACTCCCCCCATGCCCCCTTTTTTGTGCTAAGGATTGAACCCACAGCCTTTGCACTGGTCTACACTCCCAGCCTTTTTCATTTTTTGAGACAAGTTCTCCTTAAATTGCTAAATTGCCTAGGCCAGAGTAAAACTTGGGATCTTCCTGCCTTAGTTTTTCCAAGGGCTAGGATTACAGGCTTTCTCCTCTGCACCTGGCTGAGAGTGCCTTTGTGGCTTGTAGCTCCATTCTACAGGTTCACATACTGTAGTGGAGGGATAGATGTAGGATTAAGCCTTTACATAAGTCACCGCTGACTGTCCAGCCAGCAGGGCCAGGTCCATTGTGCCCCTGGAAGGCAGAGCACAACACACTTTCCTCTGATACTGACTGCTCAGAGCAGATATGGAAAGATGGTCCCTCCCCACAGAGGGTAAAACCCCATGTCATCCCTTGCTAGAGCCCCTCACATCTTCCTCTAGCCTTCCATGCTTTTTTTTTTAAATTTTCTGAGACAGGGTCTCCCTATGTTCTTCAGGCTGGCCTTGATTGACTATGTAGCTCAGGCTGGCCTCAAACTCGAGGCAATCTTCCTGCCTCAGCCTCCCAAGTGGTGGGATTTCAGACATGCATCACCCAACCAGCCTGTTTTATTTATTTTTGTATTTTTAGGGAAGGGTCTACAGGGTGTTCAGGGTCTCACTACTAGATCAGACTTGTAGTAATCCGTCTGTTTACAGCTTTCCAAGAGCTGGGATTACAGGCGCGCGCCACCATGCCCAGTCTCCCAACCAGACTCTTTCCGCAGGTTCTTGATCTTCGTTCCCAGATGTGGGAATTGGTGAGTCACAGTGTAAAGTTGCTTCACCGGAACAAGAGCTATATAGTGCCTGAGCCGGTTGGTTGTGGGGGGACGGAAAGGCTCAGGCCTCCTCATTTCTTTCCAGGCCACTCCACATACACATACCTGCAGGCCACTAAGATACAGGCGCCCACGCCTTAAACTTATAAGATACAGACTTCCAGGACCAGGCAGATTCAGAGGACCTCAGGCCTTGAGTGTGGCGAGCCTCATTCAGTAAGGCTCCGCCCACAGCTCCGCCCTGCCGGCCTCCGCCCGGCAGGTCCACTGTGCTGGAGCTCCACGGGGCGGTAGGTGAACGGTCTCTCCGCTCCGGCTCCAGCTCTGGCTTGCACCCTGAGGAGGCTGGGCTTCCTCGGAACGTGGGCAAAGCTCGGCTGCCCATGGGCATTGGGAACCGTCACTTCACACTGTTGCCAGCCAGGCCGGCACCCGCGGGATCCCTGAGGGGCTCTGGCTGGCCTCGATGGAGCTCCTTCTGGTCGCCGTTGTTTTTGCTGCTTTTGCAACCGTCTGCAATATCATCTGCAGACCCGGACTGGCAGTGCCCGCGCACACCCTACGCCGCCACCCGCAACTTTGATGTGAGGTATGTGGTGCCTTTTTTCTCTGCGGGCGGCCCTGTGCAAGCTGTAGTGACCTATGAAGGTGGCCAGGATGGCAGTGCTGTATTTGTGGCCACACGCAATCGTCTGCATGTGCTTGGGCCTGCCCTGCAGTTTATCGAGAGCCTGGCCACTGGCCCTGCTGGAGACCCGAGCTGCCAGACCTGTGCGGCCTGTGGACCAGGCCCTCATGGCCCGCCAGGTGACACAGACACACTGGTGCTAGTGCTGGAGCCTGGGCTCCCTGCGTTGGTCAGCTGTGGCTCCAGCCTGCAAGGCCGCTGCTTCCTGCATGAGCTGGAGCCCCATGAAACAGCCTTGCACCTGGCGGCACCAGCATGCCTCTTCTCTGCCCACCGAAACTTGCCTGAGGACTGTCCTGACTGTGTGGCCAGTCCCCTGGGTACCCGAGTGACTGTGGTTGAGCAGGGCCAGGCTTCTTACTTCTACGTGGCATCCTCCTTGAACACAACAGTGGCTGCTAGATTTAGCCCCCACTCGGTGTCCATTCGGCGCCTCAAGGCTGATGCTTCAGGATTTGAAAGAGGCTTTTCAGCGCTGTCCGTGTTGCCCAAATACCTGGACTCCTACCATATTGAATATGTGCACAGCTTTCAATCAGGAGCCTTTGTCTACTTCCTGACCGTGCAGCCTGCCAGTGTGACAGACACTCATGCCCTACAAACACACCTAGCAAGGCTCAACGCCCTGGAGCCGGAGTTAGATGACTACCGGGAGCTGATCCTTGACTGCTATTTTGCACCTAAACGCCGCCGCAGAGCCCCAGAGGGTAGGCAGTCCTACCCAGTGCTTCAGGCAGCCCACTCTGCTCAAGTGGGTGCCCAGCTTGCCTCTGAACTAAGCATCACTGAGGGCCGCGAAGTGCTATTTGGAGTCTTTGTGACCAGCAGGAGTGGGAGCCCTGGAATGGGCCCCACCTCTGTAGTCTGTGCCTTCCCCATTGACCTGCTAAACCTTGTAATTGATGCTGGTGTGGAACACTGTTGTGAGCCCCCTGTTACCCCTCGTCTTCCACGAGGCCTCGAATTCTTCCAGATACCCAGTTTTTGCCCTAACCCGGTGAGCAGAAAGAAGGGGTCCCAGATGGCTCATCTGGCCATGGCTGAACACAGGCTGGTTCTCTTCCATCACACTGAGGGCCTGGGAGGGAACACACAGACAGAAAAGCATTCTCTTCTACCCAGTTCCTCAGTCCTGGGGCCAGTGGAAAGAAAGAAGGACCAAGCAAAAGCCACATGAAGGTTCATCTTCCAGCCAAGATTCCCCCCCCCCCCATCTCCTTTTGTTCTTTCATCCTCTCAGCCATCATGGCTCTGGGTTTTTTTTTTTAGGTAGTTTCCTGAATTATGTGAGGATGGGATTGTATCATAATTATCTCTCTGCCAGCACAGCTATCAAATTCTGGATAGAATGATAGATATCCCCTCCCATCTGTCCATCACGCATGCCCTCAGGACACATGCAAAAATGCATATGCAAACACAAGTACTGAACACAGGCAGGTACTTATTATGTACACACATACACAGAGCCCAATGGGAGCACTTGTTTTGCTCTGCTTTCCAAAGAGATTGGGCAAGAACCCCTCCACATCACCAGGTTTTAGGGAGTCTCTCAGGCCTTGGAAGTCTGAGGGCTTGGTAAGGAACCTGTATGGCCCATGCTTCACTATCTCATTCTCAGTCAGTCATTTGGAGGACTCAGGACACAATGGGAAGGCAGCATAGCGCTGGCTTGTCCTCACCTCAGCCTGCGCAATCAACTGTAAACATCTGCAGATGAGTAAAGGCCTAGTTTTACCAGACACTTAGGCTCATGTGCTCAGGCCTAAAGAAAAACAAGTTTTAGTTTTTAGTGCCAGTTACACTAGGAGGGGCTGGTTGGAATTGGTTCAACTGAGATTTTTATGCCATGACAGTGTAACTGAAGCTGTCGGAATAAAGATAGAAATAGCTGGATGTGGTGGCGCACGCCTGTAATCCCAGCACTCACAAGGCTGAGGCACAAGGATCGCTGAGTTCAAGGCCCGCCTGGGCAACAGTGAGTTCAAGGCCAGTCCGAACAGCATAGTGAGACCCTGTTTAAAAAAAAAAAAAAAAAAAAGAGCTACCCTAAGAACAAAACTCAAATTCAATTCTGGAAGCTGCTTAAATAGTCCCACATGAGATTATAAGAAGTTAGGCCAAAGACAGGGATTGAATGGAGCACTAGATGAGTGGTCTTTCATCAAGCTGACCCTGCAGTGACTGCTCTGAGTTTCTGGCCACTCAGGCTGCTGGCTCTCTTGTGACCTTCTCAACTCACTGTTTTCCTGCTCCACTGGAGACCCAAGAGACGGGAGAATTTATACCCAGTGTGGGGTAGGATCTGCAGCTTCCTATCCTCAGCTGACTACAACTAGATTGAGAGGCCCAAAGGGTGGGGACTTCTTTTCCAGCACTGGACTGCCCTGCCTGGCCTCATCATCCTCTCTCTGGGAAGTCAGAAATTCTTTCCAACTTGGTTAGTTAGTAAGTCAGAAGATACACAACATGGCTGGGCAGTGCCAGGCACAAGGAAGATTAATCTTAGGCCCTCCCCACAGACTGGCTAGGCCACCAGGTGGTATGGGAAACTGTGCAACAACTCTGGGCATGTAGCTGCTGGGACAGCACTTGCTTTGTGCCCATAGTGACTGCGCTCAGGTAGTGCTGGCCTACATGGCTTCAGGAGGGGGCCAGGTCCTCTACAAGACACTGTGTGCTTATGTGTACTTAGGAATCAGGGACCCCTAATAAACCTTAAAACCCAAAGCTAAGATCGTGGATCCTAGAAGCAAGCACACAGGGCTGTAACCCTGGCTGGATCAGGGCCTCTTTTCACCTCCAGAGCCCCACCTGTCCCTGAGTCATGCTGAAAACACCTGGCAACCTCTAGACTAGGGCCAGGCCTCTTTTCTTCTCAAGTGAAGACAAAGTCCTAGTCTCCACCCACACAAGCTACAGACCCAGGATGTGGGGCAATTCTGCACCCAGCTGTACCTTCTGTTCCTCTACACCCCCTGCTCTGCACTGAAGTCACTGGAGTGGGTTAAATCTGTGTGGGTGTTTTTTTTTTTTTTTTTTTGGTGGAACCAGGGATTGAACTGAGGCCCTTGCGCTTGCCAGGCAAGCACTTATTCTACTGAGCCATCTCCCTGGTCCCTGTTTTGTCTTTTTGAGACATGGTCTTGCTAATGCAGTTCAGGATGGCCTTGAGCTCACTTTGTAGCTCAGGCTGGTCTTGAACTCACAGTAGTCTTCCTGCCTCTGCCTCTGGAGTGCTGGGATGACAGGCATGTGCCACCACACCTGGCCAAATCTGTGTGATCTTGAGGAGTGCTCTTGGTGCAGGCCGGGGAGTCTTCAGCATCTACAGTTGGCTACTAAGCCTGCCTGTGCTCCAATCCCAATCCCAAAACCTTCAATTCACACACTGTGTCCCTTTTTGAGAAGCTTCCAGACTCATGCTCCAGAAGTACAGTCCCCAAATAACCCCAAGCTAAGAGCAGGGAAGAAGTTAGCATCTCCTAGCTTCTGCAACTTAGCCTAGCACCCCCTCCTTAGGGCCTTGCTGTATTTCTTCTGTACATGAGGGAGGTATAAGTAGCAGCTAGAGGTGCAGAAGGATCTTTGGCGTCTCAGGGAGACTGCTCAGGTTACCAGAGCGCTGGCCAATTAACTCCAAGTTCACCCTATTACACAGTTGAGGAAACTGAAGCCCAGAGGGGACAGGATTTGAGGAGCACTTGCAGAGGCAGAGATGAGCCAGCAGGGGGCAGGAGAGGACTCTAGTTAAAAGTGCAGATTTCCAATTTGGCTTTTGAGATGGGACCTCAGAGCCTGTTTGCGCTCTACAGGTTTGTTGTGAGATTGGGTCTGTAAAACTCAGTAACTCTTACTGCAGTGAATATGGCAGAATAAGGCAAAAAATGGACAAGCTGGCCTTCCAGCCTGGGCCTCCTTCCTTCCAAGCCTTTGCTACCTCTAAAAGCCCCATGGGATGTAGCCGCAGGTAACTGGCAAGCCAAAAGCCTTCTCTAGTCGGGCCAGGTGAGGAGTGGGAGTTCAGGGCAGTTGTGATCACTGAGAGAAGTTGAACCCTTTTTCTCTTCCCTGATTCTCCTTAGCCAGACCCAGAGGCTCCTAGCCCCAACATCAGCTGCCGCTACTTCCCTCTGCTGGTCAGCAGTAGCTTGCCGCGTGTGGACTTATTCAACGGGCTTTTAGGTCGAGTGCAGATCACTGCACTGTATGTAACACGCCTTGGCAATGCCACAGTGGCCCACATGGGCACAGCCGATGGACGTATCCTGCAGGTAGGTCTCTTACCTCACAACTCCCTAGCCCTGTTTTCCTGTCCCCATGTCTATTTTGCTTACAGCTGACCTATCCCAGGTGGAGCTAGTCAGGTCACTCAACTACTTCCTGTATGTGTCCAACTTCTCACTGGGCAACAGTGGACAGCCTATTCAGCGAGATGTCAGTCGCCTTGGGGACCACTTACTCTTCACGTCTGGGAACCAGGTGAGGTAGTCAAGGTCACATCCTGGAGTCAGGGAGATTTTTTTCTTTCTTTCTGTCTGTCTGTCTGTCTGTCTGTCTGTCTTTCTTTCTTTTTTTCTTTCTTTCATTCTTTTCTTTCGGACATGAGGATTGAACTCAGGCCCTTGTGCTTGCCAGGCAAGCACTTATTCTACTGAGCTATCTCTCCAGCCCCATCTAGGGAGATTTTGACACAGAGTTCCCACCGCCACAGTTTACAATAGGCCCAAAAGGGTCCCTTCCTCAGTCATACCTAATTCACCTATCTGTCACCCAAGGTCTTCCAGGTACCTATCCGGGGCCCTGGCTGCCGCCACTTCCTCACCTGTAGGGGCTGCCTGCGAACACAGCGCTTCATGGGCTGTGGCTGGTGTGGAGACATGTGTGGCAGACAGGAAGAGTGTCCTGGCTCCTGGCAACAGGATCACTGTCCACCTACACTTACTGAGGTACAGCTTTCCTGGCAAGGCACAGGTAAGGGTGGGATAAGCAGAGCCTACAGTGGGGATTGGCAAGTCTTGACCATGATGTGGCTCAAGCCTAGAATGCCCTCCTTATCTACAAGAAAGACATTCTTGGTGGAGGGGAACACATGCAAGACTTTGGAGGTGGAAAATGTTTGAATGAAGACAAGCAAGTAACCCAAAATGGCTGGATACAGGGCAGTTAGAGGGTATGGCAGGGTACTCTGAGGGAGCAGAGGGGGCTAAGAGAGCCCCACCCAACACAAGAACTTAGCCTCTCTTTCCTTGGCTTCAGTTTTACCCCCACAGTGGGCCCCTAAGGGGCAACACAAGGCTGACCCTGTGTGGCTCCAACTTCTACTTGCACCCTCGTTCTCTGGTATCAGAGGAAACCCATCAGGTCACCGTGGGCCAAAGTCCTTGCCGGTTGCTGCCTTGGGACACTTCAGACCTCAGGTACCAGTTGGTCTCTTCCTTCCTTCTATTGTTTGTGGGGGCAACCAAGCAGCCCCTTCCATGTGCAGGCCCTGTCTTTTGCTTATCAAGGGTAGGGAGACTGGAGCAAGCTGTAGTAGCTCTGACTGCCCCATTCCTGGGGAAGCTTCCTTGTCTCTTTTTAATCCTGCACATGCCCTACCCATCTGTTTAGTCATGACTTAAAGATTAGTTCTTGCATGTGGCCCGATCATACCGGTCCTAGAGGAAGGCATGAGTCTTAGAGGTGCCCTGTGACTTGTGGCCAGCATGCAGTCAGGCTTTGTGATTCCTGGTTAATCTCAAGCTTTCTGTTGGTGTCACAGCCCAACACCCCGGAAGGACTTTGTAGAGAAGCTGGAGTGTGAGCTGGATCCTTTGCACTCCCAGGAAGCAGGGACTACCAACATCAGCCTCACTGTGACTAACATGCTGCCAGGCACACACTTCCGTGTAGATGGCACCTCCATGCTGGGAGGTTTCTCTTTCCTGGTGAGGCCTCCTTGTCTTGTGTGTGTTCTTGGCCAATAGATGGTACAAAAAGGGAAGGGCTTGGGGTTGAGGGCCTTCTATAGCTAAGATACCTTGATGCCCTCTTAGAAGCCAGTGCTGACAGCAGTACAACCTCTCTTCGGCCCACGGGCAGGGGGCACCCGGGTCACCCTTGAAGGCCAGTACCTGACTATAGGCACCAGCCGGGCTGTGCTGATCAATGGAACTGAATGCCAGTTGAAACAGTGAGTATCAGCAGCAAGGAGATTGGAAGCCACATGGCCCCATTTAGGGGAACCTTACTAAGTAGGTCCTGGATCCTATAAGGGTAGAGAGAAGAGGGCTCAGTTACATGGTCAGTGTGAAGGAGCAGTTTCAGGAAGGATCTTCTTCCCCGCTGGTCCAAAGGCAGGAGACCAGGTCAAAGAGTCTACTGGCTCAAACCAAGAATGTGAGGAACCTGTTCCCTCCCTTCTCTCATGAAGGACTTACTTACTGGGACCCATGGAGTTTAGGTTGGTGGGGGAAACATCCAACAGAGGAACTGGAAGGAATTAGCAGGCCTATGGAGGAGGTAAGACTGGCCAGTGTGTGTGTGTGTGTGTGTGTGTGTGTGTGTGTGTGTTGGGGGTGCGCACCGTGTGTGTGTGTGTGTGTGTGTGTGTGATGGGGGTGAACCAAATCTCTCATTCCTGTAGGGTCAGGGAGAGGCAGATAGTATGTGCCACACCCCCTGGTGCTGCCATAGGCAGTGTCCCACTTGGCCTGAAGATGGGAGGTGCTGAGGTACCTGGGTCCTGGACCTTCCACTACAAGGAAGATCCCATTGTGTTGGGTATTACCCCCAACTGTGGCTACACGTAAGTGTCACCTCTTGTATACATCAGCCTCTGAGGAATGAAAGAGTCAGCCTAAGAGAACACCTAAACCAAACCATTCTGCTCTCCTCCATAGTGGCTCCCATGTCACCATCCATGGCCAGCATCTGACTTCAGCATGGCACCTATTGTTATCATTCCATGATGGGCAAAAGGCAGTAGAGAACAGGGTAAGTGGGTGCCAGCCAAGAGGGAGGAAGGCTGGACCAGTCCTCAAGCTCCAACCTCACCTACACTGGCATGAAGAATCTGGGGCAGCCACAAGTGGAGTGCCTATCTAACCATTCTCCTGTGGTCTCATCAGTGTGAGGGGCCGCTTCCAGAGCAGCATCGATGCCGTCTGCCTGAATATGTGGTCCGAGACCCCCGGGGGTGGGTGATAGGGAATCTGAGTGTCCAGGGAGATGGAGCTGCGGGCTTCACACTGCCCAGATTTCGCTTCCTACCCCCACCTCGTCCACTCATTGCGGAACTAGCCCCACTGAAGCCTGAAGAACATGCTGTTAAGTTCCAGGTAGGTATGAGGGATGAGGCAGGGACAGTGAGGGATGATGAAGTGGGGGCCAGGCCACTGACTGGTCCTCATGACTGTCTCTGCAGTATATTGGGCTGGATGCTGTGGCTGACTGCGTTGGTGTAAATGTGACTGTGGGTGGTGAGAGCTGCCAGCATGAGCTCCGGGGGGATGTGGTGGTCTGTCCACTGCCTCTCTCAGTACAATTCAGCAAGGATGGTGTCCCATTGGAGGTAGGCAGCCCAGCTGGCCTTCATGGGAAACATAGCTGAAGGCCTGTAGTCTAGGCTTCAGCTGCCATCTGCTTCCAGGTCTGTGTGGATGGTGATTGTCACAACCTGGGCAGAGTGGTCCGGGCAGCCCCAGAGGGCTTCCCACAGAACATACTTCTTGGTGTCCTGCTGGGCTTGCTCCTGCTGGTGGTTTTACTGGCTGTTGCACTAGTCTTTAACTACCAGTGGCGGAGGAAGCAACTAGGTGAGCCCCCACTTGCAACCTGACTCAGCTTCTTACCTCTAAAGAGTAGCATCTCCAAGCTCCAACTTCTTCCTTCTGCCCAGGCCTTGGGGGTCTCTCACAGCTCCCTGGTGGGGGTTGGCTCCCAGGGACTTGGAGCTGTCTTTCCACAGTCCTTTCTCCCAACCCAGATGACCTAGCATCCCTGAGCCAGACTGCTAGAGCTATGCTTCTGCCTGTACTCCACTTAGGCTCTATGGAAATGACTGGTGAGATGACAGAGGTGCTAGGAGCTAGGACCACACCTTCTCCACAAGCTCTCATGCCTTCTCCCCTACAGTACTCTCTGCCCTTGATGGTCCACATTCTCCCACTGGAGTCCTTGGAGAATCCTCAGGCGGCAAGGAAGCATCCTCTGTCCCTCTGCTGCGGACAGAATCCATCCGGCTCAGGGACCTGAACTCTGTACTCCTGGCTGAGGTCAAAGACATACTGATTCCTCACGAACAAGTGATCATTCACAGTGACCGAGTCATTGGCAAAGGTATGGGGCCAGGTGGGGAGAGAGCAGAGAGTGTTCTAAGATAACATGAGCTCAAGGAACAGTTGGGCAAAACTCGGCTGTGGTTTTCTCACCAACCTGTGTAACCTTAACTATACCACAGAACTTCCTTTGCCCATCTGTGGAATGGGGGTTAGGACAATTTTATCTTCCATGTGTTCTGGTGTAATGGACACTGGAGGGCTGCAATCTCTACCATATTGAAGATGTTGCCTTTCTCCATACCCTTTTTTTCTTTAGCCCTAGGCATTAAACCCAGGGACTTCACATTGAGCTACTTCCCCAGTCCTTTTTTAAGACAGGGTCTCACTGAGTTGTGTAAACTGGGCTGGAACTTGTGATCCTCCTGCCTCAGCCTTCCAGAGTTCTAGGATTACAGGCTTGTGTTACCACACCTGGCTATTTGTTTTTATTTTTATTTTATTTATTTATTTATTTATTTATTTATTTTTGCTATTTGTTTTTAATATTTTTTTTTATAAAGACTTTTTTTAAAAAAATTTATTTATGTGTGTGTGTATGTGTGTGGCCAGCTCAGCCCACCAGGGGGCGGGGCTGGCTGGCATGTGGTGCTGGGGGATCAAACCGTGGTCCCTGTGCCTTGCTAAGCTTGTTCTAAGTAAGTGCTTTAGACCATTGAGCCATCTCACCAGCCCTGCTATTTGTTTTTAACATCAGATAGGCCTGTTTGGTCATCTGAAGCCTGGATGCTAATGAGGAGGTGTGCTATGAACCTGGGCACCAAGCTCTCTCTGACCATCTTTTCTTGACAGGCCACTTCGGAGTTGTCTACCATGGGGAATATACAGACGAGGCCCAGAATCACATCCACTGTGCCATCAAGTCACTCAGTCGTGAGTGGGGTAGAGGCTGGGAAGAGCCCCAGGCTGGAAGGCTCCCTGTTTTTACTGTGTTGTCAACTTACTAAATGACCCTAAGCCAAGCAGAAAGGCTTATTTTCCCCATCTGACTTGGAAAAGTGCTCCTCTCCCTGAGCCTGACCTAAGCCATTTCCCAGGTATCACAGAGGTGCAGGAAGTGGAGGCCTTCCTTCGAGAGGGGCTGCTCATGCGTGGCTTGCACCATCCAAATGTTCTGGCTCTCATCGGGATCATGCTGCCCCCTGAGGGACTGCCTAGTGTGCTGCTGCCCTATATGCGCCATGGAGACCTGCTTCATTTCATCCGCTCACCTCAGCGGGTCGGTGCCCAGCCAGTCCATGGAGCATGGGAAGGGGTAAGCAGCAGCTGGAGATGGGCTGTTCTACCCTTGCTCATGTATACACTGTGTTCCCAGAACCCCACTGTGAAAGATCTCATCAGCTTCGGCCTGCAGGTAGCTCGTGGTATGGAGTACCTGGCAGAACGCAAGTTCGTGCACAGGGACCTGGCTGCTAGGAACTGCATGTGAGTGACTTGGGCAAGGCCAAGGGGCAGGGCAGGAGAGCACATAGGTGCCCAAGCCACCTCAGGGAAGAGGCCACTCTAGCCCTGAGCTTATTTTCCTTTCTTTCTGGGCCTCAGTTTTTTAGTCTGTCCAGTACAAACTAAGCTCTGAAATTCTGTAAAGGTCTGGAAGAGATGGATGTACAGCCTGGTGGGAGTGAATTTTAATGTGATTCCTTGCAGGCTAGATGAGTCATTCACAGTCAAGGTGGCGGACTTTGGTCTGGCCCGTGACATCTTGGACAAGGAGTACTACAGTGTTCGTCAGCAACACCATGCTTGCCTACCTGTCAAATGGATGGCACTGGAGAGCCTACAGACCTACAGATTCACCACCAAGTCCGATGTGGTAAGGCCCCACCTGCCCTTGGTTTAGATGACTTCAATGTCCTGGAGAGTTAACATTACCCACTCAGCTTCTTATAATCAGAATCCAGAGAATCCCTAGTTAGGCAACCTCCACAGCTCATTTGTCCATGTCTTGGGGAGATGTGAAATGGAATCTGACCCCTTCCCCCAGCAAGGTAAGAATGCATTGGCTTGTCCCAGGCCATTCAGAACTTGCCCAACCCCAATTCTGGGGGGAGATGCATGTTGTGCAAGATTCAGACATGGGCTCAGACTAGAGGGTGGGGTCCTACATTCCCAGTTGAAGGACTCTGGGAGGTAGAGGACCTGGGGGACCCACCTACCCCAAATTTGAGGTAAGAGGTGAGTCCTTTCACTTCTCCCTTTTTACAGTGGTCGTTTGGTGTGTTGCTGTGGGAACTGCTAACAAGGGGTGCCCCACCTTACCCCCACATTGACCCTTTTGACCTCATCTGCTTCCTGGCCCAAGGTCGGCGCCTACCTCAGCCTGAATATTGTCCTGATTCTCTGTAAGTACATGAATGTAGTAGGAAAAGATGGACCCCTGAAACAAGGAGGGACCTTGAGGTAGAGTTCTCATCTTGTTTTCTGCTTGACCCTTTGATTGACTAGGAAAGAAGGCCCCTCTGGGCCTCAGTTTTCTCATCTGTGGACTTCTCCCCGCCCCCCCAATTCAGGGCAAGATGCTGAGAGGGCCTTGCAGTTGCCATGACAACAGGATTCCAACTCATAGTCTGGGTTGAGGCCAGTGGCTTGCATCCCTGGCTCCCCCCTTTTCTTGTGAAGGGGGCTGCTTTCCATCTCTCCACTTAGCCTCAAGGAAAGATTCCATTAGCTTCCACAATGGCCCCTTCACATCATTAGATCCGGGTTTTCTCACAGGAGGGAGCTTCAGATTCCCTGTTCCCAGAGTGACAGCAGCAGCCATGCTGTCATCAGTGCCTGTGGGGTGGGTCTGCCTTCCTAAGCAGCATGGATGTCTCAGCTGTATTCAAGTCTACGGGGTTAAAGCAGGAAGAATCAGGTCACAGATAAAAGTGGTCGGTGACTCTTGTCCCAAGCCATAGTCCAAAAAGTGAGTAACACTTCCCCAGCCCTAGCTGTCTTGGATTTGACTTTTATGATCCACTTCAATAAAATATCTGATTAAAAGGGAAATTGATTTCACTGCTGCCTGCATCCACGGTGGGTTCCAGGGCAGACTCATGGAGATTTCTATGTAGGCTTCATTAGAAACTTGGGGCAGGGGAAACAAGGCTAGGTAAAGGGAGAGGGTGACTGGAATGCAGATGCAGGAAAGGATGCAGCCCATCCCCCAGGCCTGCATGAGCTGGGCTGGCTCTTCAGAATCTTTTGAAATTGAGACCTAAGGGTCTGGGGAGAAAGCTTGGCCATCTAAGCACCTGCCTGGCAATCTTGAGGACCTGGGTTCTTTTTTTTTTTTTTTTTTTGGCAGAACCGGGGATTGAACTCAGATCCTTGCGCTTGCCAGGGAAGCACTTACTCTACTAAGCCATCTCCCTGGCCCTGAGGACCTGGGTTCTATCCCTTGTACCACATGCTGTGCTGGCCACCGAAATGGGGCATGGTGGTGCATGCCTGTAGTCCTAGCGCTAGAGAGGCTGAGACAGGAGGATCACTATGAGTCCAAGCTGTGTAGCAAGACTCTATACTAATGAAATAAAAAGTTTTTTTTTTTTTTAATTGAGATCTAGGGGCCAGATCTCTATAGCAGGCATTCATCATCAGTCACTGGTCATAGGCTGTCCCTGCTGGTAGTGGTGGTGGGGTGAGCTTGTAGGAGGCTGTTCTCTGCAGAGGAGGGGCAGTACCAAGAGAAGTGTTCTTCTGCTTCAGAACCATGGTACCACTAGTGCCACCCAAAATGCTACTCCTTTAGGTCTTTAAATCCCTGTTTTACTTTTTTTTGTAATGTATTTGGTTGTTGCAGGGTCTCACTATGCAGCTCAGACTTGTGGTGACTCCTCCTGCTTTCAGCCTCCCCAGCACTGGGATTATAGGCATGCACCACCACACCGGGACTCTGGCTGACTCAGTGCATGGGGGTGGGGGGTGGGGTGCTGGTGTGGCATGTGGTGCTGGGGATCAAACCACAATCCCTGTGCTTGCCTCAGCTTGCCTATGCAGGCACTTTTTTCCACTGAGCTATCTCGCAGGCCCTAGTTTTAGGATTTTTTTTTTTTTTTTTTGGCTGGCTCAGGCTGTCTTAAGGGTGGGCTTGGTGCAGCATGTGGAGCTGGGGATCAAACCATGGTTTCCTACACCTGACAGGGTTTGCCCAAGCAGGCACTTTAAATAATGAGCCCCCAGCCCCGGTTTTAGTTCTTTACTACAATACACGTGAACTAATCAACACAGCCTGTGAGCTGGGCCCTGTGCTAACCACTTTATAGCTATCCTCACCCTGCTCTTCTACTTCTCTGTGATCAGAGAAGTCAGAGGTACAGAAAGGTTAAAGAACTCACCCAAGATCAGTCCTGTGCCATAGAGTACCAGGGCTGAATTCTCTTCTTTTTTCTTTTTGCATTACTGGTGATTCCACCAAGACCTATGCACTGAGCTTAATCTCTAGCCCCTTTCTATTTTTTATTTTGATACAGGGTCTTGATAAGCCACTAAATTGTCCAGGGTTGGGCTCAGATTTGTGGTTCTCCAGTCCCAGCCTCCTAGAGCACTGGGATTACAGGCATGCACTGCTTTTAGCCTCTGAGGCAGGGTGGACCTCTGTTAGGGTGAGAAGGCAGGATTGCATCAGTGATCAGAGCAGTTAGAAGAGCTGTCCCTGATTGGGCACTGCCGGGTAGTAGGCCCTGAAATGTGTTCTGTTTGGCCTGACTGGGGACTAACAGCAGCTAGGCGCCCAGGAGCCCTGGGTCAGGGTGCACTGTGCCCTTGACCACCTCCTCCTCCTGCAGGTACCAAGTGATGGAGAGATGCTGGGAGGCAGACCCAGCAGCACGACCTACCTTCAGAGCACTAGTGGTGGAAGTGGAGCAGGTTGTGGCCTCACTGCTTGGGGACCACTATGTGCAGCTCTCTGTAGCCTACGTGAACCTGGGCCCCAGAACCTTGGATGAGGCAAATGTACTCCTGGAAGATCCACGGTCCTCACCTGTGCATAGGAGCATGTCTCGGCCCCGACCCCTCTCAGAGCCACCTCTGCTCACTTGACCTAGGTTCTGGGAAGGTCTATGGGGGCTGAATTGGCTTAGTGGCCTTGAGCTAACCCCTGGTGGTCTGTGGGTGTACCAAGCTAGAGGATATGGAAGTTCTACCTTGGGCCTGCCCTTGAACCTTCAGGGAGGACCAAAGGGCGCATTGGTCTCTCATTACACAAAATGAGCCTGTGAGACCAACTCTTCTACAGCACATATTTGTGGAGCACTTTCTGTACCATGCCTGCTGGGAACTGAGGACTCAGCAGTGACACAGAGACACTTACAATAAAAACGGATTTTTTTTCATGTACGTATATGTATTTGGTACAGGGTCTCACTACACAGCTCAGACTCACAGTGATCTTCGTTTTCAGCCTCCCCAGCACTGGGATCACAGGCATGTGTCACCACACCCAGACTAGGTTTCTGGCTCAGCAAGCCCCTAGGGGGCGGGACCAGCACTTGCCAAAGTAGGTGCTTAGTCTGCTGAGCTATCTTGCCGGCCCCAAAAGGAATATTCATGTACAAACTATAGAAACGCTGGGAGAGAAAGATAGATGGAATGGAGGACTGCTTTAGATCCAGAGATGACTAGAGAGGGAAGCCTCCAAGGAAGTGATTTTTTTTTTTTTTTTGAGACAAAATCTTGCCATATAGCTCAGGCTGACCTTGAACTATGTTGTTCAAGCTGGCCTCAAACTCGTAGCAATCCTCTGACTCAGCCTCCCAAGTGCTGGGACTACATGTATGTGCCACCATGCCCAGACAGGAGGTGACACTTTTGCTGAGGCCCTATCAGGTGGGGAGAGATCTGCCAGAAGCAGAGTTTGGGGAGAGTTTTTGGTAGGGTGAACAGAATGTGCAAAACCCCTGCTGCTATAAAGACTCTGGGCCACACAGATAGTTACAGAGGATAGAGATGGTAGGCAAAGCCCAAGTCAGATTATAGGGCCCTGAAGACTATTGGATCAACAGCAGCCAGGACGGTTTCTCCTGGGGCTCAAGCTGTCTGTCCTCACCTAGCACTTCTTCTGCAGGGCTCGCTTCTCCATCTGCAGCATCACCCAGCACATGTGCACACGGAGTCAGGACATGAGCACTTGCTCATCTCCTCACACACAGTCAGGGCATCAGCATTTGCCTACCTCCCAACCCTGGCAGCATTACCCTTGCAACCTGGAGAGAGCAGAGCTGGCAATAAGGCCTCAGCTCCACTGTGGAGGAACCAGCTTAGAAGCACCAACTGCCCACAGTATCTATACTTGCCAAACCCACTGCCACTACAAGGGCATGTTTCTCTGGAGGAGAAGTAGCCTCTGCCCTAAGGTGCCCCACAACCTGCCTGCTGAGGGAGGCAGCTAGGCCCTGCTGTTGTGGGAGCTGGGGTGCCAGGGCCCAGGATGTAGATCACAGTGTTAACTTTTCCTTGCTAAGGACCCCTATGGCCTCTATCCTTTTAGTTTGGAGACCCCTAGTTCACCCTAAGCAGGGCAGGCTCTCTCCCCTCTCAGCCTTTAGCACTGTACCCTGTCATACATAGAACTCTGGTTTGGAGCAAGAGTTCCCTGCTAAGCAGAGTGGGGGTCTCCTTGGGACCATGGATGCCCAGGTGTTCCTGTCTTCCACCCATACCACAGCTCAAACTGTCATTTCAGGCCAGAGAGGAGCTTAGTCCTAGGGATCCCAAGGGCCCTGAGGACAAGTGGATAAGGCTTTAAAGGGTACTCTTCAGCTGAATTTCAGGGGCCCAAAGATGAGGTGCTTGTGAGCTAAAGATGGACAGAGACAGGCAACCTATTTATGGCTACATCTCTGATGCCTCTCACAGCAGGGGCATAGAGAAAGCTACGGCCTCACATGCTTGGCCACTGACTCTTGTCTATGTGTGAATATGGTAGATTGCCTCTCCCTGAGGCTGGCAGAGAGGTAAGTGGAGTATCCTGGAATGTCCCAAAGCTGTGTTCCCTGTAACAGTGGGAAAGCACTGTTGCCATCCCTCCAACTTATAGTCCTCATCCTTTAACCCATCCCAAAGGTCTAAGGGTCACCCATAGTGTGAGCAGTGGATAGGGAGTGAGGAGAAGGGCCAAGGGCTCCCACCCCACTGGCTCATGTGTTCACAAGAGGGTTCAAAGAAGAAGGAGGTCTCTGGGCAAGAAAGAAGCTTAATGGAAAAGGGGTCCTAGAGAAGAGGGATAGGGATGGGAGAGAGAGAGGGAGGGAGGGAAAGAGAGAGGGAGAGAGGGAGGGAGGGAAAGGGGGGAGAGGGAGAGAGGGAGGGAAAGGAGGGAGAGAGGGAGGGAGGAAGAGAGAGAGAGAGAGA